CTGCTTCAGAAAGATGTGAAGTACAAGTGGTCGGAAGAATGTGAGCAGAGTTTTCAAGAGTTGAAAAGTCGCTTAATATCAGCTCCTATTTTGATTTTGCCTGATCCAAAGAAGGGTTTTCAAGTGTATTGCGATGCATCCAAACTTGGGTTAGGTTGTGTTCTGATGCAAGATGGGAAGGTGGTTGCCTATGCCTCTCGACAGTTACGTCCGCATGAGAAGAACTACCCTACTCATGATATTGAGTTAGCTGCAGTCGTTCATGCATTGAAGATTTGGCGTCATTATCTTTTCGGTACTCGTACAGAAGTGTACACCGATCACAAGAGTTTAAAGTATATCTTTACTCAGCCGGATCTGAACATGAGACAACGGAGATGGTTGGAATTAATTAAGGATTATGACATGGGAATTCATTATCATCCGGGAAAGGCTAATGTTGTAGCAGACGCTCTTAGCAGAAAAGGCTATTGCAATGCTACAGAAGGACGACAGTTGCCATTGGAATTATGCAAGGAATTTGAAAGATTAAATTTGGGAATTGTCGGTAGAGGTTTCGTTGCAGCCTTAGAAGCGAAGCCCACTCTAATTGATCAAGTTAGAGAAGCCCAAATTAATGATCCTGATATTCAAGAGATCAAGAAGAATATGAGAAGAGGAAAAGCTATTGGTTTCTTGGAGGATGAGCAAGGAACTGTATGGTTGGGTGAGAGAATCTGTGTCCCCGACAACAAAGATATAAAAGATGCAGTTCTGAAAGAAGCTCATGATACTTTATACTCCATTCACCCTGATAGTACTAAGATGTACCAGGATCTCAAGGAAAGATTTTGGTGGGCAAGTATGAAGCGTGAAATCGCAGAATATGTAGCAGTATGTGATGTTTGTCAGCGAGTCAAGGCAGAACATCAGAAACCCGCCGGTTTGTTGCAGCCTTTGAAGATTCCTGAATGGAAATGGGAAGAAATAGGTATGGATTTTATTACTGGTTTACCCAGAACGTCATCAGGCCATGATTCTATTTGGGTGATAGTCGACAGACTTACCAAAGTGGCTCATTTTATTCCGGTAAAGACAACCTATTCCGGAAGTCGCTTGGCGGAATTGTATATGGCAAGGATTGTGTGTTTGCATGGCGTCCCTAAGAAGATAGTGTCTGATCGAGGCAGTCAGTTTACTTCAAATTTTTGGAAGAAACTTCAGGAAGAGATGGGTTCTAAGCTGAACTTTAGTACTGCTTATCATCCACAGACAGACGGACAAACCGAAAGGGTGAATCAGATTTTGGAAGACATGTTGAGAGCTTGTGCTTTAGATTTCGGTGGAAGTTGGGATAAGAATCTACCTTATGCAGAATTTTCATACAACAACAGTTATCAAGCTAGTTTACAGATGGCTCCTTACGAAGCACTGTATGGTCGGAAGTGCCGCACTCCGCTTTTGTGGGATCAAACGGGAGAACGTCAGGTTTTCGGGACGGATATCCTAAGGGAAGCAGAAGAAAAGGTAAAGGTCATTCAAGAAAGATTGCGAGTGGCTCAGTCTCGACATAAGAGTTATGCCGACAATCGCCGTAGAGATTTGAGTTTTGAAGAAGGAGACTATGTGTATCTTCGTGTCACGCCTCTTCGAGGAGTTCATCGTTTTCACACCAAGGGAAAATTGGCACCGCGTTTTGTGGGACCTTATAAGATTGTCAGTAGAAGAGGAGAGGTTGCTTATCAGTTAGAATTACCTCAATCTTTGGCAGGAGTCCATAATGTGTTCCATGTGTCACAATTGAAAAAATGTTTAAGGGTACCTACCGAAGAAGCTAATATTGAGCAGATAGAAGTCCAAGAGGATTTGACTTATGTTGAGAAACCAATCCGTATCCTGGAAACAAATGAGAGAAGAACCAGGAATCGAGTTATCCGTTTCTGCAAAGTTCAATGGAGTAATCACTCGGAAGAAGAATCAACTTGGGAACGAGAAGATGAATTGAAGTCAGCTCATCCGCACCTGTTCGCCAGTTCTTCCGAATCTCGAGGACGAGATTCTGTTTAAGGGGGGTAGGTTTGTCACACCCTGAAAATTTTAAAATTTATAAATTGTTGTTTAAATGGAATTTTTAGAAATAATTTTAAAAGTCTTGAAGAGAAGATCTAGTTTTAATTAATAAATTCCAATATAAAAGGGGCCCAGATAAAATTTCATTAAATACTTTGCTTAATTCTATAATTCCTAGATTTTTCTGGGATTTATTTGAGCTAAGGAAGTATTTTTAATAAATGGAATTGCATTTAAGAAATAATTTAAATTGAAAAAGGTTTTAAAAAGTCTCTTTTGGCTTTGGGCCGAAAGTCGGCCCAAAACCCCTCTCTCTCTCCTCGGCCCAGTTCGGCCCAGTCCGCCGCGCGCGCGCCCTCTCGCTGTCGCTGACAGGTGGGTCCCGCCTGTCAGGACCTTCGTCCTCCTTCGGCCGCCGCCGCCGAAACCCTAGTTTCGCGCCGCCGCCGTTTCCTTCTAAATCCGGCCGTTCCTTTCCTTCTCCGGTCGAATCAAAAGAGGGGAAACAATCTCCGGGATCTCCTCTACCTTTTCTCCTTTGGAATCTTCGGCTTAATCGGTTTGGAAGTTCATGGAATCGAGTTCGATTCGGATCGACCTCTTTCCTTCAAGCCGCGAGTTTCCTTCGCCGTTGCCGCCGTCGTGGGCCTTTGCCGCCGCCTCCGAGCCCCTTTAAAAGGACCCTCGGTGTCTCCTCTTCCCGCCGCCACCCTCGCCTTCGCCTCTCGTCGCCGGAAGAGCTCTAGCGCCGTGTGCCCTAGCTTTGCCGTCGCCGCCGCCGCTCCAGCCGTGCGCCGTCGTCGCTTCAGCCGTCACCGTCGCTCGGGAAGACCGTCGTCGTGGTCGCCGTCGCGTCGCCGTTCTCGTCCGCCCCTTCGCCGTTGCCGGAGATCGCCGAAGCTTCGTCGCCGTCGACAACCCGAAGGTTTCCGCCGTTTCCTCCTCGTCGTCGTCGTCGTCCGTTGTTCTTCCGCCGCCGTTTTGGTCACCGGTGTGTTCGCCGCGTCGTCCTCTACATGCTGGTGCCCTCCGTTTTGCGTCCTGGTGCCGCCGTTCGCCGGCAAGCGTGCGCCGCCCGAGCCGTCCGCTCCGCCGAGCCGCCGCCGCTGTCGGTGACGTCACCGCTGACGTCATCGGGGTCGTCCGCCGTGAGCCGGTCGTGGACCGTTCGATCTCGGCCGTCCGTTTTGGATTGGTTCGATCTCGGCCGTCCGTTCGTGTGAACCGCCGCCCGTGCGCCCGGTCCACCAAACCCTAGCCCGCTGACGCAATAATCCTTCTTTTCCTTTTCAAAAATAATTCATTATTGCGTCATAATTCAATTTTAACCGATATAAGTGTTTTAATCCGATTTAATCTTTAAAAATTCATAACTAATTCATCTTAGCTCCGATTTAGTTGGTTCAAGTCTCTAATTTTTTCTAAAATTGAGATTTACACTTTAAAAATATCCACATGTACTGTTCATGCTTGTTTATGTGCTGTTTTGGTGATTTTGCTCTTTTCTGCTTAGATTCCGTCGTTTCCGGAGAGTCCGTTTTCGCAGAAGAAGAGTTTGAAGAGTTCCAAGGCCAGCAAGGCAAGTCACACAGATCCCAAACAACCCTTTGAGCATGTTGATCCTATTTAAAGCTATTGTTTCTATTCAACTATTGCATCTATTTTCGAATGTCATTGGGTGGAATTGACCTATTCTTTGTTATGGCCCTTTCGTACTTGATTACCTTATTCCTTGATACCTTGGGTTATTACAATTTGACTAGTTGAGCTTTATTTATATTGGTTCAACTAGATATTAGATATAATTGCTTAGCCCTGCTTAGAAACATTAGTACACATTCGGGATAACTAATGACTCACTATTATTTAATAATGGTTTCATGATAGTTCACGATGGTCAATCGTGATTAGTTAATTAATTAATGTGCCAACTAAAACCTGGTAATGGTGGGTTGTGAGCACATGGTTTTGTTGGTCGTGCTCATGACAATTAAGGACCGGTTCACGAGTTTCGGTTGTGAAACATTAACCGTGCCAACCACAAGCCAGCATGGGCAACGGCTTTATCTTTTGTATAGCATGGTTCATTGCGGGGCACCAGACTGAGAAGTGGCGGAGATAAGACCACGGGGGTCGCTGGGGAGTCCATGCCTTGTTTATAAGGGGGTGATTATGATCCAGGAAGGTGCGCTGCAGTGGATTGTGTTATGCGAGGGGTATTGTCACAACTCCTTTCCGAGATACCGTGGTGGTATTGAGGCACATGGTGACATGATGTGGGGTTGTGTCTTGTGGGTACAGTGGTACACCTCTGATCAGAGTAAAACTATTCGAATAGCCGTGCCCGCGGTTATGGGCGGGTCTAACAATGTCTTTCGTGATTAGTCTCACACCTCTCATCATTGTAAAAGATGCTTAAACTGGTAATAATTTGATTAGCTCCTGGTTGTTTGGAATGGTATATTCCTGGTTTGGAGATAGAACTGTGCAGCCGGGGTGGTTGTTCAGAATGGTTGGGCCTATACAACAGGGTATGTTGTATAGCGTTGGATTAATATTGTTTAATTACTTAACTGTTTTATCAAATTCTCAAATGTCTGCTAAATGCTGCTTTTGCAAATGCAACCCTATTATGCCATCCTTTGTTATCCTGTGCACTTGCATATTTGCTGCGTGGCTTGCTGAGTATGTCATATACTCACCTTGCAATCATTCATCAGAGGAAGAGTTCTACAATGAGGCTGATGGTGTGAAGGATTAGGTGTAGCCTTGGTCAAGCTGCCTGTGGAGTGGAGCCGTCTCCGCCGTTTATTTATTTTCCGCTGCTTAGATCTTTATTGATTGAGAGGAACTATCTACCTCTGTAATGACATTTTATTCGCTTATTAATTAGAGTAATATTTGTACTCTATTATCAATTTGTTATTGTGTGCCTCGGCTGATTCCTGGACGAGGGTTCACACACATGTAAGCGTTTGGAATTTTGCATAGAAATTCCGGGCGTGACACATGGGGACCTCACGAAATCATATAAAATCTATTGTTTTTTCCTACAACTTTTGCCCCCAGCTACTATATTACTATTCTACTGTTCTGGCAATACTTATTGATGCCATCTGCACCATCCAATCTAACGTGTGTCAAGGATCCAATGTTTCTTCCACTTCTACCCTCCCGTGACCGTGAGCAGCGAGATTGGTTTCTGCTCCCGCATTGACCCTTTTTCCGCTACTTCTCTTCGCTGCCGCCGTGCTCCATAGCGCTTAGGGTTTTCTTCGTCCGTGTCGATCCTCTTTTCCCCTGCTCCTTTTCTGGTCCTCTTCGCTGCCGCTGTGCCGCATCGATAAATTACAGATTGGTAAGTAGACGGAAAAGTTGCAAATTGAAGTGAACTTCGATTGAACTTACCCTTCTAACCTCCTGACAGGCACACCATTATCCGTGTTCAACATTACATGTATATACACCAGTGCATGATTTTGCTTAGATAAAAAGCATTAACAAAAGATGATCGTAGGTGTTAGATGTATATTTATGGCTTTTCTATTGGCCTTTTGGCATTCTCTTGTACTTGTCTTTTGGCATTCTCCTGTACCTGTATATATACTTAGGCCATTGCCCTCTCATGAATATGATCACTATTCATAACATGGTATCAAGAGCCAATTAGACTTCTCATCTTGCAAAGAAATTTTTTTCCCATGACTTCTCATTGCTTGATCTTCGTCGAGGATAATCGTATTTCTTCACTTTGAAGACACAATGTTCCTATTGATCTGAGCAAGATGTCATCTCCATTTCTTCTCGTCAAATTCTACTCATCACCATCGATTTCTGCGTGAAGGCCTACTGCCGGCATCGCCCCTCCTTGTGGGCTGCTGCAGCTCATCGCCGAACCGTGTCGCTGGCCGCTGCACGTCGCGGCGCTGCTGGCCGCCCTCGTCACGGGCGGCTGCTCGACCATCGTCCCTCGTTGCCGGCTGCTGCACGTCGCGGCGCCGCTGGCCACCGCATCGTCGAGGGCAGCTGCTCGTTCGTCGCACCACCGCCAACGGCCGCATGTCGTGCTCCTTGTCGCCGGCTGCTGGTCGTTTGTTGCGGCTCGGCCTGCGGCCGCAAGTCGTCGCCCCTTTTTGCAGGCGACCTCTCATCGGGGCGCCGCCAGCTCCTGGTCGTTGTTGCCTGCTGCCCTCCTCGTTTCTCTGATCTGAAGTTGGAAAGGTTAAAAAAAAACCGAAAAATCTCTGTCTACTCCTGTGGTACGTTTATGCGTTGTGTATCTGAACTTCCAGTCCTCTTTTGAGAAGAACTTCCAGTACTCTTCTGAGAAGAACCCGAAGTAACCTGTGAGGAACGACCACGCCGTAAATCCTTCTTCTTCCGAAAGCAAAAGGACTCCACATGTCCATCTTTATCACAATAGGTGAAGTGAAGATGGCTGCTAGTAGAGGACACAACCGGAGAAGTACGTGCCGGCGAAGTAAAGGAGGGAGTTGTACTCGACTTCGAAGAAACCGAAGAGGCTTCAGGACGAACGGCTAACACTGAAGAGGGAGGCGGTAGAATACCCGCTTCTCGAAGGTGAATCTCTTCTGAACGAATATCTGTAAGAGCCTCCACCATGGTAACCCGAGGGTGTCGAGCAAGCAACTGGGCACGTGTTGACTCATACTCTGATCAAAGACATGTGAGAAAGTCGTAGATGCGACGAAGATCCATGTGAGCACGCTGATGCTGGCAACACTGACAAGTGTGGCAGATCGCTGGTCCCAAGGAATCAAGCTGACGCCAGATAGAAGTCAACTGTGTATAGAACTCATCAACTGTAGCATCCCCCTACTGCAATGACTGCTCTTGACGCACCATAGCAAGATAAAGAGCATCTCAAGTAGGCGCATAACGGTCTCGCAAGTGTGTCCACATAAGATGTGCAGAAGCAAGAGTAACCACAGCACCAGTGAGATGAACCTCCATATTAGCCACAAGAATAGCAGAAGCACGAGCATCCTTATCTAACCAAGCCTTATACAGAGCATACTGATTTTGATAATCTTCCATAGCATCATCGTACGCCTCTTGCGCCTTCGCTTTGTCTTCGGCAGAAGACTGAGCGGAAAGTGTGGCATACGAGGAGCATTGGGGCAAGGCGGGCAGGGCAGCTCACCAGACAAAATATCCCAAAGACGCTGACCACGCATGTGAAGATGCATGTGCTGAGCCCAATGACTGTAGTTGACACCATCAGAAAGAACCGGACAACGAGGAATAGAAACGGTGCCCGATGAAGACGACATCGTCATACAGTAAAGAGCGACGGCGGGAGCGCAAGAGCAAAGCGGCAGCAAACAAGAAAGCAAATTAGTTTCTTTTTTTTTCTTTTTTTTTTGGCCTCTGTCAAAAATAGGTCCTAAGAAGTGGTGCCGACCGTGTGGCTGGCAAGCGGGTGCACGTTCACCACTGGTTGGATGCGACACCTCGCTGCCTCCGTCCTCCGGCGACCGCCGCGGGCAGCGCTAGAAGGGAGGAGGAGAGCTCGCCCGAGGGGCAGGGAGGGCAAGGAGAGGAGGGGAAGATGGTTAGCTTTTCTGCATCGCCCCCTTTCATCTCTCTCGCCCTCTCCTGTGCGATGCACCGCCGTGGCTGCCTCCTGCTCTCCTCCCTGCTGTGGATGCTTTTCACTCCTTGCTACGCCACCGCCGACACCCGCTCGAAGGGGAGGCCGTGGGTGCCCAATCCGGCAGCCACGGCCTCCTTGCTGGCAGATCTGGTCAATCGAAGTAGTGGGCAAGCGCTAGCGGTGTCGATGCCGGACGGTGTTCCCCAGCGGTGAGCTCCACAGGTGATGGCCCTGCTCACCCACCCTTCTTTGTGTACACTTTCCCTCTTTCTCTAATCCAGATCCAAAGTTGATGGTTCGATGTGGTAGATCCAGGGTCGTCAGCTGTGTTGAGCTCACTGGTGGGGGTAGTAGCAGCTCGGCAGCGATGGGAGGAGACACGCAGGAGGCCAAAGAATTGATGTTTGCCGCTGTTCCCCACCTCCACCGGTCGTGACCTACCCCGCACCCTATTTACCGCCGTGCGCACTGCCGCCTCACCTCATCCTCCCCTCATCTACTCCTGCTAGAGGCTGCTGTTGCGGTTTTCTTGATGGAATATATCAAACTCTCTCGGATACTCCCCCTCTTTCTTATTTCTTACAATCATTTATAATGATTTAGTTGTGAGGATTTAGATGGCGTGTTTACCATTTTATCTACTGACAATTCTACAATCGAACCAATGTAGGGTGTGATGATACAGTAACTATACCACACTTGAGATGGTTGTTGGCCACGTCACAAAATAAAGACCAGATGGTTAAACCTGGAGTCCCCGTCTCCTCGGTGCCTTTCCTGACCTTTTGTGTATAGTATTCTATTTTTCTTTCCCGTAAACTACTCCTGAGAGCTATTGTTCAATTCTTTTGTGGACCATGAAGGGAGTTTACTACTAGATTGGTACAAAATTTGCATGCAATGTACCTATACTTTATGCATTACTTTTACTTCATTTTCTACAGAGTGATGATATGATCTAAGATTATAATCCTATTTTTTTTACTCTCCTACTGAATGTCACAGTGACTTTGGTATTCATTTTGTAAGGTACTATGCATATTGGTTCATAATAGGTTGCATCTTACGAAACCTGGAAGGCAATTTACCTAAAGCAAACAAGATCAGCCATGAAACACTAATGGGTTGTGCAAAATATACAACTATGCAACCACAAGGTTAGTTCTCATTTTTCCCTATGACATTACCTTCGTCAACGCTTATCGTTATTAGGCCATCATGAAATTAAAAACTCTTACCATGGAATTTCTTTGCTATGTTGTCGTAAGGTTGTGCCACTCGATCGTAATCTGCGCTGGCCGCTCCTGGCTGGGCGCTTGCGTCGTTTGGGCTGCTTGCCAGTGTCGGTCGTCAAATCAGCATTGCGAAGATTAAGGTAAGGTTGTGCCACTCGACCGCTTTTTTTTTTGTTTTTAGCAATTTTAATTGTTAAGCTTGCTAGCCTGTGCAGGAGTACCACCTTCTTGCATACAAAGACGTTTACTCTTGACTTTGGGATATTATGGTAAGTGGATAAATCATGATTTTGTACGCTTAATAATGACAAGGGAGCACTTTATGCTTCCAACAGTTTCTCTCGATTGCTTCAGTTTTTTGGTGCTTTTATTTTTCCAATGATGCTATTGCTTGTCATGAAGCTTTAACTGCTAATTCTTATCCTGTTTTGTATACTTCAGGTTAAAGGCTTTCAGGCTTCTAGCTGAGTGGTCCTCTTTGGTAACGCTCCACCTGCCACTGCTTTATATTCTTGCATTTTCCTCAAGTAATTCTTTGGGATGTATTAAATGTTGTCCATTTTTCCTCCATATGTATGCTCATTTTAGTTGTGTTGCTAGACAGTATTCACTGCTCTATTCTATCCCACCAATTAGTACACCACAAAACTATTATTCAGTTAAATTATAGAATATATTATTGTTGCGCAGGGAATTGTTTTTGACATCTCATTGAGCGTTTATGCCGATTTTGATTTTCAGGCATTCCAGGGAGCATAGTGAAGGTGAGCACTGGACCTTGGCTCACCTTGGCTCACAGGATAGCCAAATATTGATGTGGAATTTTAATGACTCGCACGGTTTTGTATATATAAGGGATTAACGCATTTCTACATGTCTTCATTGCTGCTTTTGTGATCACCAAGCCAGGTAATTTTATGTTCGCATACTATTATGTACTGAGGTGGTGATGCTATATTACTCAACATGCTTTGTAGAATTAGAAATTGATCCATTGCTTTGATTACCTTTTTCCTATACCAAATAGACACATTTCAATTATTTTTGTATTTATACTTTCTACAGTTTCAACAAAGGTGTATATGTTTCTGTAACTATCTACAGTATGTGGAAATAAAAGGTGTAGTTTTACCACAATTGACCAAAATCAACTCAACCATGTCTACCATTAGAGTATGCTTCTCTGAATATTGTGCCATTTTTGGCACTTTATTTCATTATTTCCTTTGGACCAACCCAAAATGTTGATCACTCTAACGTAGTAGTGCATAAGTATTGTAGGTTCTCCAGACCTTCCATTATAATTGAGAGATGAAATGAATAATTCAAGTCATCAAACAAGCATAATGAAATATCCGACGCCTCGAGAGAGGAATATTGGAGACATTGTTGGGCCTTTAGCCTACCAGTCAACTTCAGCCTGAGATGTACCCGTCGAACCACTCGAAGGCGGCGACCAGATGTGTTACACATTCAGGAGACTTGACAAAAATGGCTAAAGATCTATAACATCTCAAATATTCTTAACTCATACTCATGTGAATCTAGTTTCTAGGATGTGCACTAGATTCACACTTTCATCTCAAGCATGGTTATACATAGCAAACACAAATAAGATGAAAGCGATTATACACTACATCTACTTTAGTTACATTGGCTGACTGGCCAAATAAATAATAGAACAGCGGAAGCTTGTCTACCCAATCCACAAGCAAACCGACTAGGGGTTTACTCCATTAAGTTCAAGTTCCAGAAGAAGCAGTCGAATACCCACATCACTCAAAGACAATCTAAAACCTGCAAGCAAAACGTTAATTCAACAGCAAGTGTCGAGGGAAGTCCCTCGATAGCGGGAGGTCGTGAGACCCCCCTTTCGTGGGTTCGGCCGAGGGAAGAAGCTCGCCTCTTAGAAATCATGTATCCGCCCCTAAGGCTGCTAACTAGCTTGCACACAATCGGATTATACAGGTTCGGGCCGCTGTGGAGCGTAATACGCTACTCCTGTGTTTGGGATTATGGTTAAGTGTTACAAGGATTCCTTCACTCCGGAGAGCTCTCTCGCCCTTCTTCTCCTAGAGTTCAGGTTTTCTGAGAGTCGTCCCCCTTCTCGGTGGGCAAGGTCCACCTTTTATAGTTCAAGGGGATACCACATGCACCGCCTCTACCTACCCTTCCATGGGAGGGGGACCCACTTTACCTTGACCGGGCCACGATCCGTGCCTTCGCCCGGAAGCTAAGCAGCAGCCCGTCCTTGAGTGGGACCCAGCGCCGCCCCCCGCCTAACACGGGGGACAGCCCTGTCATTCCCTCATAAATGAGTGAAGACTTGTGGTGGTCCTCCTCCGAATGACGCTCCGATGGGATGGGTCATACCTACCTCCACTCCGCCGGATACAGAGGCGACGTGGGGGCACGGCCGCCCGTTCAATCGGACGTGACCGGCAACAGGCCGGTCACAGACTGGTCATGTCCGATTGACGTGGGTCAGCTAGGCAGCATCGCACATCTGCCCTTACCGCATTAAACGCGGTGAGGGACAGTTGGGGCACCGTGCATTGATGGCTGTTCAACCTGGGTCCCCTTTCTGCTCACTCACCTCGCCACATGGCAGCTGGGCGAGGGCCTTGGGGCGAGGTAGCGGGAGAGCCCGAGGGGCACGACGTGGCACCCCGAGGCCCCACGGCCGCTTCTGTGACTCGCGAGGTGCGGGAGTAGGGCCAGGCTGTAGAGCCACGCGGCTGGATGGGAAGGTAACTTCCCCTTACTTCGCATGCCCCCGGGCCCATATCTCCGACATTAGCCCCCGGCACCATATCGGACATCGGCCTCCTGAGGTCGGTCTGACGTGTTGCCTCACGACTTCTCAAGCTGGGGTTGTGGGCCCGGCAGGGAATCTAAGGGAATGTTGTCGAGTGGCCAAGTTGGCGTGTCAACCACAGCAACGGTTTGGCCGCCACTGACCACGCTGATGATGAGGATGTTTAAGGCGCGAAAATCGGGGGGTCGGTCAGACCATGCCTCGATTCCCTCTCTCGCTACTCATGCGGCGGTAGAGGTGACGGTTCGCTCAGGTTGCGCCCGTGACCGTTGCGTGCCCTACTTCGAGTGTACCGCTGATAGGTGCACTAAAGGCGGGGCACGGATTCAATGGGCAACGTGATGAGTGGACGCGGGAAACGAAGAGACAACCGCAGGCGCGAGAATCGTGGGGGCAACCGTGAGGGCGTGAAACGAGGAGGTGAGCGTGGGTGAGGCGAGGATAAAAGGATACAGAGGCAGGGACTTTGCCTCCTTCCTTTCGCCAACCGCCCACTCGTCTTCTCGCTCCTTTAGCCCTAACATTCTCACCGCTTCACACTATTCCGCACGCCAAGCCCTCCGCCGCTTCTCCGCCGGCCATCATGGCTCAAGACACTGGTGACACAGTGCTCCCGGCATCACGCATTATGGTGGATAGGCACCTTAGCCTCCCCCGCAAGATTATGCCGGAAGACGCCGTCGCGAGGGCGGGGGAGTCGCGGCCACGGCCGCGGTATCCGGAGCGATCCGTGCACCTCTTGTCCGTCGCTATGGCGGGGTTGATTCCGCCGTTATCCGGATTCTTCCATGAGGTTTTGGACTTCCATGAAATCCATGCCTTGCATCTCGCACCCAATGCCATGATGACGCTGGCCATCTTCACGCATCTGTGCGAGATGTTCATCGGGGTGCGGCCGACGATGCGGCTGTTCCAGTCTTTCTTCATCCCGCAGCTGCTGCAAGGTGCGGTGGTAGGGGGATGTTACTTCCAGCCCCGGCCAGGCACGGCGGGGCAATACATCGAGAGTCATCTCCGCAAGAAATGGGAGGACTGGAAGAAGGACTGGCTCTACACCGCGTTGCCGGACCACCCGCGACTTCGGCTTCCCGCCGGTCCTCCCGAAAGATCCGCCGCATGGCTGGCGGTTTCGGAACTGGGCGAGGAGTACGACGCAGTGTGGGATCGCCTTAGGGGCCTGCGAAGCCTGGGCCTCACAGGGGCGATGGTCTTTGGTGACTATTTCCGTCACTGCATCGCACCACTCCAGGATCGATCCCGTGGCGCGTGGGTGTACACTAGTCCCAACGACCCCATGCGCATGCATGTGGTTGAGTGTTGGGACTGGGGGAGGAGGACGCGAAGATGGTGATTTGGCGGGTGCTGGGCCTGGACTCCGCATACCGGGTCCGACCCCGAGCTAACCCTAGCTGGGGCTCGACCCGTTGCGGGCGATAGCGGCGGTGACGTCCCTCCCGGAGGTGGCTCCGAGACCAGGGTTCATGCGGAGCGCCACCCGGGATCGTGGGGTGAGGGAGGTTGCGGCTCGGAGGCCGCGACCGGAGGCGGCCCTAGGCTCAAGGTCGAGACCGAAACTAGGGGCGGGGCCGAGCCCGAGGCCGAGGCCGAATCTACCCGAGGACTCGAGGCGGGGGGCGAGAGGGACAGCCGCTCCCCCTTGCACTTGGGGCGCCCTCGGGGCTGGTCGCGCAGAAGGGGGCCGAGGGCAGCCCCAGTCTCGCGGGGGATCCAGCAGCACTCCGTCGTCTCGGGGGCGGACCGCGACTTTTTCTTCTCCGACTCCGGCAAGTATGGAGCCGCTCCTGCAGGTGCTCGCCGCCGCCGGTTCCACCGTACGGGAGGGGCTCAATGCCCATGTTCAAGCCCTGGTGGAAGAGCGAGCAGCCCTGGAGGCAGAGTGGGCACAACTCGCTGCGGACCGCGTGCAAGTTGACGAGGGGCGCCGCGCCGTTGACGACATGGTGAGGGTGGGACGCAAAATGCGTCAAGCCCAACTAGCCGAAATCCAAGCGCGCGAGGAGACGCTGGACTCTGTCATGCGGGAGACGGAGGAAGAGCGGCAGGCGGCGCTGATTGCCTCAAGCGTCCTGGATGAAGCACTGGGCGACATCCGCCTACAGCATGAGGCCCATGCCGAGGACCGGGCAAAGAGGATCAAGGACGCCCGCGGTATCCTCGACGCAGCTGCTGCCCAGGAGCGGCGGGTATCGGAGGCCGACGCCTCGCTGTGGGCCCGGACGGCGGCGCTCAAGGCTGAACGCAGGGCCTTGGATGAGCGTGCCCGCTCCGCGCAGGAGTTTGAGACAACGATTCGCTGGCGAATCGAGGTCCTCGACCGGATCCAGCGCGAGCAAAACGTGCGCGGCCAGGAGCAGGCGCAGCGAGCCCAGAAGCTGGAGAGACAGGCTTAGGCGCTGGAGGACCGAGAGCGTCTGCTAGATCAGCGGGAGTCCACCTTGGCCGCCCACGAGAGAACGGCGGTGGAGGTGGAGGTCTCCCTTCGCCTTCGTGAAGAGGCCGTAGCCGAGCGTGACCGGATCACCCTCACCGCGACAGCTTCAGCGGACCGCCACGCGGAGGAGCTACGGCTCCGGGAAGAGGCGTGCCAGGAACGGGACGTCGCACTCGCCGAGCGCGAAGCCGAGGTGAACCGCCGTGAGGTGGCCTTGTGCCGGCTGGGCGAGCAACTCGCGAAACGCGAGGAGGCCATTGCCGGGCGCGAGGCTCGGCATTTGGAGAGTGCTCGCACCGAGCGCACGGCGATAGCGGTGAGGGCTTCTGAGCTGGAGGCCCGGGAGAAGGACCTGGCGGCGGGCGGGCAAGCCGGCGGCGCGGAGTTGGTGAGCCAGCTTGCCACGGCTCAGAGAGCTCTCGCCGACCTAGAGCGCTTGGTGCAAGATCAGGCTGGGGAGATTGCGGTCCTCCGCCTCACCAACGGGATCGGACCCGGGCAGCTCTCCGACGCCGTCGACCGGCTGGAGCGTGCGGGGCGCCGAGTCGGCATCTCCGTGCGCCGGGATAGTAAGCTTCCGCCCACACAGCCGGCACTCGCGTTCCGGCTGGACGGTCTGGCGGCGGATCTGGAGAGGCTGGAGGAGGAGGTCAGCGAGACCGTGAAATTGTCGTCGGCTTCTTTGGCGCGGGCCGCGGTGGAACTAGTCCTCGCGAGCCACCACGCGAGCGACCCCGACTTCGTCCCATGGCGCGCACTCGAGGATTTCCCACCGGGGACCGAGGCAAGGGCTCGGGAGCAAGTCCGGGAGGCGGCCGACGCGATCGTCTATAACTTCGAGGGGTTGGCCCCCCGGTTCACCTTCGGGCTTGCCTCGGACGAGGAGAGCGGGAGCGGGGACGAAGATGACGACGTCGTCGGCGAGGACTGGGACGACGTCGTTAGCGGCGCCGGCCTCGGGGGCTTGGGCACTCCGTGATTACCCGCGCTTTCAATTTCCTTTTGTTCTGTGCCTACAGCGGACACTTCCTGTATTTAGGCCATCGTGCCGTCTTGTCTTGTCCGCAATTAAAACTTCCTTTTCGCACTTTTTACCCCATTGCTTTTTTCATTGAATGCCTGCGGCACAGAAAGAAGAAAAAACAAGAGCAAAAGTATATAATTAATCTGCCTGTGATTGAAATGACGCTTTTACCCCATCCTCCCCCCTCGGGCTTATTCTAGCGAAAAGGTAAATCCGCGCTCAGTCCGTGGTACCTAAGTGGTGAAGGGCAAGACTGTCGCCTCGAGGGAGCCACCCAGCGGGACTGGCCAGACCGAGGCTACGACGACCGGGGGTCGGGGACGGCCGTGTGTAGGCCCCTCCGAGCCCCCGGGGTTTGGCGCAACCCGGGGCACGGCCCGCGTTTGGGCTCCCTTTCGGTGGTTTGCAGGTCGCCCCACGGCACTTAGGGTTCGGAGTAAGTGCGAACTGTCGTTTGAACCAGGACAAGCCAGAGGAAAGAGTGAGGATAACGGGCTTCACACTAAATAGAAAAAATTCATTGCTTGTAAAGGGAAAAGGATACCCAGTGGTAGCCCCCGGCCAAGCTCGCACAAGCCGAGTGGTTGTGCGGGGGTTGGCCCGAGCGCCTGGAAAGCAAAAAATCTCGACGCTATGGATAGAAGCGACGGAGGTGTTCGATATTCCAGGGGTTAGGCAACTCTGTGCCGTCCTCCGTGGTTAGTCGAACGGAGCCTGGCCGGGGAACGCCGATCACTTTGTATGGCCCTTCCCACATTGGCGAGAGCTTGCTCAGCCCTAGACGCGATTGCACGCGGCGTAGGACGAGGTCGCCAACTTACAGTGATCGGGCCCGGACGTGGCGCTGATGGTAGCGCCGCAGGCTTTGTTGGTAGCGCGCAGCACGCAGGGCCGCAGGCCTTCTCCGTTCTTCAAGATAATCGAGATCGTCGCGGCGAAGATCATCCTGGTTTGCCTCATTAAGAGTGTTGAACGGGATTATTGGCTATTTTGATGGAACTCTCATTGTCACATAGGAGTGGGATCTTGGTGAAGTTGTAGCCAAAGTCTTTTAGAGTTTGTTTCATCCAAAGGAGTTGGGCACAACAAGAACCGGCGGCGACATATTCGGCTTGGCGGTGGATAATGCAATGGAATTTTGCTTCTTGGAGGACCAAGAAACAAGGGAACGCCCAAGAAATTGACAAGTCCCGGTTGTGCTTTTTCTATCAACCTTACACCCGGCGTAATCTGAATCGGAATAGCCCAAAAGCTCAAAGTCACAACCCTTAGGATACCACAAGCCAAGATCAGGAGTATGAACTAAATATCTTATAATTCTCTTGACAGCAATCAAATGGCACTCTTTAGGTTCCGCTTGAAAGCGAGCACACATGCAAACACTAAGCATGATATCGGGACGAGATGCACATAAGTAAAGCAAGGATCCTATCATGGAGCGATATACCTTTTGGTCCACACATTTACCATTATCGTCAAGGTCTAGGTGGCCATTGGTAGGCATAGGAGTCTTGATGGGTTTGGCATCTTCCATCCCAAACTTCTTGAGAATGTCCTTCACGTACTTGGTTTGAGAGATAAAAGTGCCCTCTTGTGCTTGCTTCACTTGTAGCCCGAGGAAGAAGGTCAACTCGCCCATCATAGACATCTCGAACTTTTTAGTCATGATACTACTAAATTCTTCAAAAAAGAAGCATTAGTGGAACCAAATATTATGTCATCGACATAAATTTGGCATATGAATAAATCACTCTTAAATTTTTTATTGAAGAGAGTAGTATCCGCCTTTCCAATTTCAAAATTATTTTTCAAAAGAAAATCTCGGAGACATTCATACCAAGCTCTAGAGGCTTGTTTGAGCCCGTAGAGCGCCTTGTGGAGCTTGTACACATGATTTGGCAATTTTGGATCCTCGAACCCCGGTGGTTGCTCCACATGGACCAACTCCGAGATAGGTCCATTGAGAAAGGCACTCTTGACATCCATTTGGAATAACCTGAAATCATGGTGAGTGGCAATAGGCTAAAAGAATTCTAATTGACTCAAGGCGAGCTACAGGTGCGAAGGTTTCAACAAAATCGAGACCCTCGACTTGGGTGAACCCTTGCGCAACTAACCGGGCTTTGTTCCTTACAACCACCCCATGTTCATCTTGCTTGTTGCGAAAGATCCACTTGGTGCCGATGACATTTTACTTGGATCTCTCCACCAAAGTCCACACTTGATTGCGAGTGAAGTTATTCAACTCCTCTTGCATAGCCATCACCTAATCAGGATCACCAAGCGCATCTTCCACCCTGGTTGGTTCCAAAGAAGAGACAAACGAGAAGTGTTGACAAAAACTTGCGACACGAGAGCGAGTAGTTACCCCTTTTCTTATGTCACCAAGTATGTTGTCAACGAGATGATCTCTTTGGACAGTGTGATGTATCCTTGGATGGTGCACTGGGAGGACCTGAGCCTGATCAGAATGCTCTAAAGTGCCCTCAGCATTGATCCCATCCACTTGTGCCGTTGGCACGTCTTCACTGCCACTGGTCCGGAGGTTCCGGACTGTAGAACCCAAAACTTCCGGGCCTGGAGATCTCCGGAGGTTTCGGTCAATAGGACCTGGAACTTCCGGCTCAGTAGACACAGCACTTGTAGGGCTATTGGATGTCGATGACGGAGGTTGATCCCTATCTTCTTGGTCATCCTGCGACTCGACTGCTCGTATGTCTCCAATAGCCTTAGTACCTATAGCTTGACTTGGATCCACATCCCCTACAACATGTACAACAACTTGCTCTCGTTGGGAGCCATTAGATTCATCAAATGTCATATCCCTAGTGACTTCAACAATACCGGAGGTTTTGTTGAAGACACGATAGGCATGTGCATTTGATTCATAGCCAAGTAAGAATCCCTCATCCACCTTAGGTGACAACTTAGATGAGCGAGGCCTCTTACTTAAAATAAAACATTTGCTCCCAAAGACATGAAAATATGAAACATTAGGCTTCTTACCACTCAAGAGCTCATATGAAGTTTTCTTTAGGATCTTGTGGAGGTACAAGCGGTTGATGGCATGACATGCGGTACTCACGGCCTCTGCCCAAAAGATATCCGAAGTCTTGTACCCATCAAGCATTGCTCTTGCGGCTTCAATAAGAGTTCGGTTCTTCCTCTCAACGATGCCATTTTGAGGAGGATCATAGGGGGTGGAGAACTCGTGCTTGATTCCCTCTTGATCAAGGAAATCCTCCACTTGAGTGTTCTTGAATTCTCCTAAATTGTCACTTCACACCCTCTTGATGGTGAGATCATAGAGGTTTTGGGCTTGCTTGGCGAAGTGCTTGAAGACATCTTGAGCCTCACTCTTATCATGGAGAAAATACACCCAAGTGAAGCGGGAAAAGTCATCAACAATAACAAAACCATACTTGTTACCTCCAATACTTATGTAAGCAATGGGCCCAAATAAATCCATATGTAGAAGCTCAAGAGGGTGTGTTGTAGTCATGATGTTCTTGATAGGATATGGATTCCCAACTTGTTTCCCGACTTGGCAAGCACTACACACACGATCTTTCTCAAATGTGACATTAGTGAGCCCGAAGATGTGTTCCCCCTTTAGAAAAGTTGCCAAATTCTGCATTCCAACATGGGCTAGTCTACGATGCCATTGCCAACCCATGGAGGATTTAGCAATCAAACAAGCTTCCGGATTCACTCTATCCACATCGAAATCGACAAGATAGAGATCACCCTTTAACTTGCCTTTGAATGCTATGGAGGAGTCATCCCTTCTAAAGACGGTCACATCCTTATCGGTAAACAAGCAATTGTAACCCAACTTACATAATTGAGAAATGGATAATAAATTGTAGCTTAATGAATTGACAAGAAGAACATTAGAGAGAGATTGATTATTGGAGATGGCAATTTTACCTAGACCAATTACCTTTCCTTTACCATTATCTCCAAACACAATATTCTCACGAGTTCCGTTCTCCTCATCAAGACTTGTAAACATACTCCTCTCTCCAGTCATATGATTGGTGCAACCACTGTCCACAACCCAACTTGAACCACCAGAGGAGTATGCCTACAAAAGAAATCAAGCTTGGGATTTAGGAACCCAAACTTGTCTAAGTTTGGGTCCCTTGATGTTAGTCACCAAAGCCTTTGGCACCCACACACAAGTGCGGTACTCATCATTGTAATTCCCATTAAAATAAGCAACCACTTTGCCCTCTGAATTTTTGGAAATTACATATGAATCATAGTAAAGACCATCTGGACGGAACCTCCTGACATTATGCCCGGAACTTCCGGTCATGTCTTGTGCACAGCCATTGGCCCGGAACTTCCTGGTAAACTGGTCGGAACTTCCTGGTGGGAATTTTTGAGAGACAGAGACTCCCACCTGGAAGTTTCGCCCGGTTTGTCCGGATGTTCCGGGTCCCTGGCTGCTCACAAGACTAGTCACCTCACTTGCTTGTGGAGCTTTACCTTCTCTCACAAACATCAAGCATTCTTTCCCATTTATCATCACACGCTTAGACACAGGACTTCCACCCGAAAACCCGAGCTCGTGTCCATCCTTGTTAGGATGAGCGGTGATGGTCCTGTAAAGGGCATCTTTTGAATGGTATGTCTTCATGCACCCATATTTCACCAAAGTGCCCAACCTTTCATTCTCTTTCTTAAGAGCTTGCATAGCATCAACACTAGTAGCATAAGAGTTCAAATCAATATTGTAACACCTAGCACAACCATTGCTAGTAGAAGGGTTAGAAGAATTGGAAACCACATTTGGTTGAGAAGTGCTATTCCAAAGAGTGTCAAATTGAACTTCAAGATCTTTATGACTTTTTTCTAAACTAGCAAATTTCTCTTGAAGAGTTTCATTGACATTTCTAATGCTAGCTAAAGAACCATTAGCCAAATTAAACTCATTAGTAAGGTGTTCATTTTTAGCACATTCTTTAGCTAAGCTCTCCCCTAAGGCAAGGTTTCTTTTCTTCTCAAGAATAAGCAATTCTTCTTGCCTTTCGAGTAATTGTTCTTTACTATCCAAAGCTCTCATTAACTTAGCCAAATGTTGCATAGCGGGTTTGCTAAAACTCTTAAGCACATCATCTAATTCATTATCACTTTCCTTATCACTAGAATCAACATCAAGAGAAGTTTGAGTGGGCTTTTGAGTCATCACCTTGCGGCCTTGGGCCATGAAGCAAGAGTAGTGGTAGGAGTCGTCGTCGTCATCACTCAAGTTGTTGAAGAGACGCTCCTTGCTTGAAGAAGATGACTTGAAGGCGACGGTAGCAACACCACCTTCTCCTTCAACCTTGTCTTTTGACTTGGGCTTGGGCTTGACCTCGAGATCTTCTTCATCTTCGGAGTACCAAACTTCCGCCATGTGTGCCTCCGCCACATGAGCACGCTCTGGCTTCTTCTTGCCTCCCTTAGCCTTAGCTTCATTTGACTTGGGACAATCGGCAATAAAGTGGCCATATTCGCCACAATTGAAGCACGCTCTCTTTGATTGCCTCTTTCCCTTGTCATCATCCTTCCTCCCTTTGCCATAGCCACTCTTGCGAAGAAAGTGCTTGAATCTCTTGACAATAAAAGCCATTTCTTCATCTTCACTTTCTTCACAACTTGACTCTTCTTCTTGTTTTGCCTTCAAAGCAACTTCTTGATTTTTGATCATGACAGCATTCTTCACCATTTACCTCACTTCACGAGCTTTCTCTTCTTGCATCTCATGAGACACAATTCTTCCAAGAATGTCACTTGGGGTGAGCCTCTTGAAGTCTTTCCTTTCCCGTATCATTGATACAAGAGTGGGATTTCTTGGACCAAAAGCACGAAGAAGTCTCTTGACAACAAAGTGATTTGTCATGTCCTCACTCCCAAGTCCTTTAATCTTGTTGACAAGAATCATCATCCTATCATACATCTCTTGTGGTATCTCCTTGTCATCCATCACAAATCTTCCAAGCCTTCCTTTCAATAATTCAATCTTGACATCACGAACGGCGGGTGATCCCTCATGAGCCAATTGCAAAGTACCCCATATCTCCTTGGCCTCCTCTAGTCCATCAACCTTGTTGAACTCTTCCGGACTCAAGGCGGAGAGAATTGCATTGGAAGCTTGAGCATTGCGGTGGATGAGTTGTTCTTGCTCCGAAGTGAGCTCCATGTCTTCATGAGGTACGTCAATACTTGTACAAACAACTTTCCAAATACTTGGATGCAAAGAGATTAGATGCAACTTCATCTTGTGCTTCCAAGCGGCTTAATGTGTCCCATCAAATTGAGGAGCACGCCCGGAAGGCACGGAGACGAAGTTGTGAGGAGGAATGGTAAGTTTGCAGTTTGCTATAATCAAAAGGTATAGTAGCTCCCTCGGGTGATGGAGTTCCCTTGCTGCTCGCTCCATCTTCATTACCAATTTCCCCGTACTTTCCCCCTAAGTCCGACATCGTGGAACACTCAAAGCGGTGAAGCTTGAATTAAGAGCACTATGCTCTAATACCAATTGAACGTGCAGAGATGTAGCCTAGAGGGGGGGTGAATAGGCTTTCCTGAAATTTTCTCAACAATCGCAGCGGTTAAATTGACAGGGCCGGGAACCTTCTAGTGATAAACACCGGAACTTCCTAGCAGTGATGAGCAGCTCGGAACTTCCAGAGTTCTTGAGCCAGGAACTTCCGGGCAACAGAGATAAACGAAAATAATAGAAGAAAAATAGGTCCTAGCTAGGGAAAATCAGGCACAGGGTTGCACAAGATGAAAAACACAAGATACCAGCCAATTCAAACACAGATCATGCACAAGAGAGACAAAGGAGATTTTTTCCAGAAGTTCGGATCACACGGATCCTACTCTCCGTTGAGGTGCTTAAAGAGCCGGGTCTCAATTAACCCCTTACCTCACTTATGCAAAGATCTCAGAAGAAGTCCACAGCCTTCAACTCAACACTTCTAGGTCGTTTTCTAGAATTGAGTGACCACCAAGATCCAACTTACAATTCCTTCTAGAAAAGACCACAAGTGCAAGTTGCGCTACCAAGGACAACCTCTTGAAACTCAGCACAAGAATCTTTACTCACTTACCTCGTTTCCTTGCGGAGGTGACGAAAGCCTTCACAAACTTTCCCGGGACATCCACAAGATCTTTGAGAGCTCACGGGCGATACCTAACCGTCTAGGAGAAGATCTCCAAGAGTAATAAGCCCAAGTGACAGCCCACAAGATATCCAAAGTGCTCAATCAAACCTAATCTTCAAGCCATCTCCAAAACCGAGGCGATACCTAACCGTCTAGGAGAAGGTTCATGGCTTTAGAGGTTTAGGTCTAGAACTTGCCTCATCTAGGTAGTGATGAATAAAATGAGTATTTTAGTTAACTAATCTAACCTTAGTTCATAAGCTTATGGTTTTTATTATCATGGTTCATACTTTTATAAACTAGGGAAGCTCTAGTCTATGCTAGCAATATATTATATCAACCTAGAAATTTTTATATGAGCTAAGTTCATCTAAGTTTTGGTGGATGGGGATGGAACTATGGCTCCACTAGTCCTAACAAGTTTTATTTGGAGCTACCATGCATGTATATATATATATATATATATTCATATGTATTGTTTAACCACTATTATGGTATTATGGGTTTAGTACTTATTCTACCAAATTAAGGTTTAGAGCTATGGTCTGTACAGAGGGTTCCATAATTCACTCTACTAGGTTGAAGAATATTACTTGCTGGTTCTACAGAAATTTGGTTCACTTCATTTAGACTAAAGATGATTTTTCTACAAATTTTACAATTTAAGGTATGCTCCATGTTGCTTATTCCTTACATAAATGCTTAGGGGTTTTTATTATACTGTAACTATGTCATTTTATTTTATAACATTGAAGTGCACAACTCTATGATTCTACATAACTTGAGTTTACTCAAAAAGGATCAAAGATGAATTTTATATGAACTTCTAAAGTTCAGCTTATGCAAAACTAGTTATTTTAAAGATAATAGTTTTAGAGGCATTTGATGTAAAGTGTGTATATGTTTTATTTTACTTTGTTTTTAGAGAACATGTTGGTGGATATGTAGAAACTAAGTTTTCTCTAAAATGAGTTGAAATGAATTTTGTATGCATCTTATAAGTTTGTATATGCTTTATGTATGATTTATCTTAGATAAATTTTAGAGGCTACATTTGTACTGTGAGTGCAAGTTTTTATTCCATAACATTAAATTTCATAACTTGGTGAGTTCACAGAAATTTGAATAATCTCAAAAAGAGTTATATTTGATTTTATATGGATTTTACAAGTTTAGGTGTTTTCCTGTTTAAAAGTAAAGGCTTTTAGTATTATCTTTTACATTTTCAGATTTTAAACTCATGGGGTCAACCTGTCGGTCTGAGGCCAATATGCAAAAAGGCCTCTATGGTTTCAGGAAATCAACCCGCAGTCCTAGGTCCATATGTCATTGAGTGGAAACATTACATAATGAACCTTATATTTGTTTAAATTCTCAAAATGAAGTCCCTGTTTCTTCTCCATTCGATAAGCAGCAGAGCAGCCATGGGCGGCACCTCTGCTCGCCGGTGTTGGCGACAAACGGTGACTCCGTTGGGGTTGCGACCAAAATAGAAAATGAAGGGCATGCTATCGCGATTCCATTCCTATGCATTTCTCAGATAGCGGACATCGGAGTAGCGCCAGCGGCGAGTCCGAGTAGAGGATGTTTTCGGGTGGTGGTGCATGTGCTTCTATTGGTTAATTGGGTGCATGCATGTATGTTCCATAGGCTGCAGGGTGCTCACCAAATCTCGGACGAGGTACGGGTAGGCCTGGATAGTGACGATGATGCAGAGGATATCCCCACGGCGGAAATCGGCATGGCAACGGTAACAACCACCATCCGGACTTCGAGCTGTCATGAAAAAGAGTGGAACGGCTCAACGATCATCTAAAGATGCTACACGAGTGAGGAATTGCGCCGAAGCTCACCCGGGATCAAGGAATCAACGACGGTGGTCGGCGGCCGGACTTGAGGAAGAAGACGCCGATCTCCCTCGTTGTTGCGGCACTGGCTGGAGTTCTTGAGGGCTTTCGAAGAGGACGTCGAGGCTATCCTGGTGGCGCAAGAGTTCGGCTTGGGGTGGTTCGGTTCGGTCAAAACGACGACGAGAACCCGACGACGGCGTCCAGTGCGCGCTCCAGAGCATCGTCGGCGAGCTCTGCGTTCTCGTGGCTGCACTGGATGAAATGACGTGGTGTCAAAATAGAAGATGATCTGCATGAGGAGGAGAGTATGGAACGGTAGAAGAGAGGAGACGACCACGGTACAATGGCGATGGCGACGGCCGTCGTCTTCACGGCCGGCGGCAAGGTCGAGATGAAAAAGAAAAGCCGGAGCTCTCCCCCTCGGTTTGCTTGGCTCAGGAGTGGTAATGGGGAGGAGGCGATGCAGCTGGGTGGAGGTGAAGCCTCGGATCGGCGCTGCCTAACCGTCTAGGAGAAGATCTCCAAGAGTAATAAGCCCAAGTGACAGCCCACAAGGTATCCAAAGTGCTCAATCAAACCTAATCTTCAAGCCATCTCCAAAGCACTCCTACACTCTCATCTAATCTCTTAATCTCACAAGATAGGCTCTAGATTTGAGTGGAGGAAGCAAAGGAAGCTTGGGAGTGGCTAGAAAACCCTAGAACATGAAAGAACTGAAGTGGAATGGCCAAAGGGTGACCTGGGGACGAAATCCATATATATATAACGGCTAGGTGATGTCATCTAGCCGTTACTCACAAGTTTGAACTGGAAACCTGCCAGGAGGTTTCGGGCAGCACTTAGGAAATTTTTGCTTTTGAAATGGCGCCCGGAAGTTCCGGCCAGAACCTCCGGGTAGCCCTCTCTGTCCCGGGGAGAAAAATCATTTTTCAAAAAGATTCCAAAAATATTTTGACTCATGGATATGACTAAGAGCACTTTGTATACCCTAGAACCACACTTGAAACCCCTCTTAATAGTATGGTTTTTCCTAAACTCAATTTCGAAAGAGAAAAACCTAGTCTAATAACCTTCGGTGTTTTTCGCACTTAGGAACATTCAAATTGGGGGGGTCTCCTTGCATTCTTAGCCATCACAACTTGCTTTGGGACTAAACTCCTGTGAATAAACTTGATAAACACGTTAGTCCCCTTTAACCACCTTGTCATTAATCACCAAAACCCACTAGGGGGTTTAAGTGCACCTTCAAGGAGGAACGTGGCACTCCAGATGAGGAGGTGCCTTCCCCCATGCGGGCAGCTCGGCGCTCGTCCCTGCGTCGGTCGATGTTGATCCGAGCGTCCTGCTCCCCGTAGAGACCGTCATGACGCCTCCGGCTTCCCGAGGCCACCGACGATGCTGGAGCCGTGGATCGCCTTGAGGCAGTGGCCAACCGACGGGCCCTCCTCCTTGCCGACGAGGAGAGGGTAACGGGGGTACGCGACGTACTGGTGGTGGCGGGTCGGCCGCCCGCGGCCAACTGCCGCTGGGCAGTGGTGACCAAGTTGGCCACGTCGTCCAGCCAGCGCTGAACAGGGGTCTCCGGCTCCGAGTTCACGGGGGGATGCCGCAGAAAGGCACCCGCTGCCTGAAGCGCGCCTCGGGGCGAACCGCCATCGCCGTAAGTGAGGCGGCGTCGTGCCCCAACGCGTCGTGGCCTCCCTCCGCCCGGGGTGGAGAGAGGGCCGAACCACCCGAAAGGGTGGGATCCTCCCTCCGCGAGGGTTCGCATCTGGGAGGAGTTGGGGAGTCACGGCGACGGTGACGAGGGCCGCGGCTCCCACTAGAATCCCCACCCCGTGCACTCCCGGACGGGGTGGGGGTAAACGCCACCGCCTCCTCCACCTCCAGGACCTCGACCATGATCGTCAAGGGCCCAGGGAAACTTGGGGCAGAAGAAAACAACTTCTCTTCAAAGCGCGCGACTGCCCCCTACCTGGTGCGCCAGCTGTCGAGGGAAGTCCCTTGATAGCGGGAGGTCGTAAGACCCCCCTTTCGTGGGTTCGGCCGGGGGAAGAAGCTCGCCTCTTAGAAATCACGTATCCACCCCTAAGGCTGCTAACTAGCTTGCACACAATCGGATTATACAGGTTCGGGCCGCTGTGGAGCGTAATACCCTACTCCTGTGTTTGAGATTATGGTTAAGTGTTACAAGGATTCCTTCACTCCGGAGAGCTCTCTCGCCCTTCTTCTCCTAGAGTTCAGGTTTTCTAAGAGTCGTCCCCCTTCTCGATGGGCAATGTCCTCCTTTTATAGTTCAAGGGGATACCACATGCACTGCCTCTACCTACCCTTCCATGGGATTTGGACCCACTTTACCATGACCGGGCCACGATCCGTGCCTTCGCCCGAAAGCTAAGCAACAGCCAGTCCTTGAGTGGGACCCAGCACTGCCCCCCGCCTGACACGGGGGACAGCCCTGTCATTCCCTCATAAATGAGTGAAGAATTGTGGTGGTCCTCCTCCGAATGACGCTCCGATGGGACGGGTCATACCTACCTCCACTCCGTCGGATATAGAGGCGACGTGGGGGCATGGCCGCCCGTTCAATCGGACGTGACCAGCAACAGGCCGGTCATAGACTGGTCACGTCCGATTGTCCGATTGACGTGGGTCAGCTAGGCGGCATCGCACGTCTACCCTTACCGCATTAAACGCGGTGAGGGACAGTTGGGGCGCCGCGCATTGATGGCTGTTCAGCTTGGGTCCCCTTCTCGCTCGCTCCCCCCGCCACATGGCAGCTGGGTGAGGGCCTCGGGGCGAGGTAGCGGGCGAGCCAGAGGGGCACGACGTGGCATCCCGAGGCCCCCCGGCTGCTTCTGTGACTCGCGAGGTGCGGGAGTAGGGTTAGGCTGTAGAGCCACACGGCTGGATGGGAAGGTAACTTCCCCTCACTTCATATACCCCCGGGCCCATATCTCCGACAGAAAGAGTCAGCACATTATTAGAAATAATGTACTGGCAAGCACCAAGACAAACCTAACACCCTACTTGCAAGGCATATAATCAAGGAAGGCATAATATGGTTCTTTTTAGCATAAAGCAAGTTTTATTTGCATAAAACACTTTCAAATAAGATTTGCTTTCAAATAAATTTCAGCAAGCTAGTATTTTAGCATATGAGCATCAAAGTAGACATTAATCATGTGTAAATATGCACCTCATTGCCATCCATGGCAGCAAGGAGATGATTCTCAAATCTCATCACAATTTGAAGGTAAGTCTATACTCAATACATATCCACACGCCGCTCATGACCGCGAGCACAGCTAATCGATTAGTTTTTACTCTGCAGAGTTTGTACACTTTACCCACATAATGCGAAATAATAATCATTCAAGAGCATGGCATGTGATACATAAGTACCTGATTTATTACCTACAACAAAGCTTTTCCAAAATTCATGATTTAGCCTTACACCAGCACGATACGTGTTCCTCCATCCTAGTCATACTGGAAATATGACCTAGAACTGTTAAGTGGCGGGCCCACGCCTTAAACTTAACGCCGTGGTGGCGGACACAATGGGAACCCACCACGTGGCACAATACCATTGTATTGGACACGCTTAGTCACCTAAACTACTACTTCAGGGTAAATAGGAAGCTCCTCTGAATTATACGAACTCATACACACCGACCTACCAGAATGTAAGGCTAAAACATAAATAATTTACTAAGCTTGGGCTATCCCATACTAGCATATGTGGTTGTATTGTATACGAAATGAACTGACATTGAGTGAAGTCCTTAGGTCGGTTTGGGCACACTCTCTCCCTATCGGTACACAACTAATCACTATATGTGCACCACTTAAGGCCTAAACCTAAAATCCATGTTTTCCACCATTTTATTTATCAAAATCACAAGTATTAAAGTTCTGTCAAGATTATTTAAAAATCAATTTTCATATTTGTAATGAGCCCATAATGACAAGGAAGACCATTCTAAGCATGGCTAAGCATTATAGTAACCTAGTGTCACCAAAACTCATATATAAAGTGGTATAGTCATATTGTTCCTAAGGTTAGGAATGAGGGATATGGATATATGTGCAGTTAAGATGATAATGCAAGTAGTACGAGTTTGTCTATCAAGTTTAACAAAATTTTAATTTATTAGTGTACAATCGACATGCAAGATTTGCAAACATTTTCAATAATCTCCAAAACATAGGTTCAATGTGATCAAAGAGAGGGAGGTGGGACTTGCCTTGAATTTGGAAAATGTCAGCACCTAATTCACTTCTTCACCGATTAAGCAATTATCTATATAAAGTACACGTTATGCAATTAAACACCGAAATATGCGAAAAATCCAAAATGCTCTAAAATGTATGATTTGTGCACAGTGGATAGGTACTGGTCTAAGATGAATTTAAGTGAAAGAATTTCTATTTTATCTCTTTTTATTTGGGAGTTATGAATTTTAGAAGTTTGCTTGGTATAGTATAGGATTTACTTAGGTACTATTGTGAAATGCTGTTGTAAGGTGATTCTTATTAAGTTTGTGTTTGCTGGGGTGAATATATATGTTTTCTAAGACCAACACATTTGGTTTCATAATTTTTGGAGTTAATGTGAATTCTTTATGTATTTTAAAAGTTATAATGTGTTATAGGTGTATAGTGTTGTATAGGTTCATGGCTTTAGAGGTTTAGGTCTAGAACTTGCCTCATCTAGGTAGTGATGAATAAAATGAGTATTTTAGTTAACTAATCTAACCTTAGTTCATAAGCTTATGGTTTTTATTATCATGGTTCATATTTTTATAAACTAGGGAAGCTCTAGTCTATGCTAGCAATATATTATATCAACCTAGAAATTTTTATATGAGCTAAGTTCATCTAAGTTTTGGTGGATGGGGATGGAACTATGGCTCCACTAGTCCTAACAAGTTTTATTTGGAGCTACCATGCATGTATATATATATATATATATATATATATATATATATATATATATATATATTCATATGTATTGTTTAACCACTATTATGGGTTTAGTACTTATTCTACCAAATTAAGGTTTAGAGCTATGGTCTGTACAGAGGGTTCCATAATTCACTCTACTAGGTTGAAGAATATTACTTGCTGGTTCTACAGAAATTTGGTTCACTTCATTTAGACTAAAGATGATTTTTCTACAAATTTTACAATTTAAGGTATGCTCCATGTTGCTTATTCCTTACATAAATGCTTAGGGGTTTTTATTATACTGTAACTATGTCATTTTATTTTATAACATTGAAGTGCACAACTCTATGATTCTACATAACTTGAGTTTACTCAAAAAGGATCAAAGATGAATTTTATATGAACTTCTAAAGTTCAGCTTATGCAAAACTAGTTATTTTAAAGATAATAGTTTTAGAGGCATTTGATGTAAAGTGTGTATATGTTTTATTTTACTTTGTTTTTAGAGAACATGTTGGTGGATATGTAGAAACTAAGTTTTCTCTAAAATGAGTTGAAATGAATTTTGTATGCATCTTATAAGTTTGTATATGCTTTATGTATGATTTATCTTAGATAAATTTTAGAGGCTACATTTGTACTGTGAGTGCAAGTTTTTATTCCATAACATTAAATTTCATAACTTGGTGAGTTCACAGAAATTTGAATAATCTCAAAAAGAGTTATATTTGATTTTATATGGATTTTACAAGTTTAGGTGTTTTCCTGTTTAAAAGTAAAGGCTTTTAGTATTATCTTTTACATTTTCAGATTTTAAACTCATGGGGTCAACCTGTCGGTCTGAGGCCAATATGCAAAAAGGCCTCTATGGTTTCAGGAAATCAACCCGCAGTCCTAGGTCCATATGTCATTGAGTGGAAACATTACATAATGAACCTTATATTTGTTTAAATTCTCAAAATGAAGTCCCTGTTTCTTCTCCATTCGATAAGCAGCAGAGCAGCCATGGGCGGCACCTCTGCTCGCCGGTGTTGGCGACAAACGGTGACTCCGTTGGGGTTGCGACCAAAATAGAAAATGAAGGGCATGCTATCGCGATTCCATTCCTATGCATTTCTCAGATAGCGGACATCGGAGTAGCGCCAGCGGCGAGTCCGAGTAGAGGATGTTTTCGGGTGGTGGTGCATGTGCTTCTATTGGTTAATTGGGTGCATGCATGTATGTTCCATAGGCTGCAGGGTGCTCACCAAATCTCGGACGAGGTACGGGTAGGCCTGGATAGTGACGATGATGCAGAGGATATCCCCACGGCGGAAATCGGCATGGCAACGGTAACAACCACCATCCGGACTTCGAGCTGTCATGAAAAAGAGTGGAACGGCTCAACGATCATCTAAAGATGCTACACGAGTGAGGAATTGCGCCGAAGCTCACCCGGGATCAAGGAATCAACGACGGTGGTCGGCGGCCGGACTTGAGGAAGAAGACGCCGATCTCCCTCGTCGTTGCGGCACTGGCTGGAGTTCTTGAGGGCTTTCGAAGAGGACGTCGAGGCTATCCTGGTGGCGCAAGTGTTCGGCTTGGGGTGGTTCGGTTCGGTCAAAACGACGACGAGAACCCGACGACGGCGTCCAGTGCGCGCTCCAGAGCATCGTCGGCGAGCTCTGCGTTCTCGTGGCTGCACTGGATGAAATGACGTGGTGTCAAAATAGAAGATGATCTGCATGAGGAGGAGAGTATGGAACGGTAGAAGAGAGGAGACGACCACGGTACAATGGCGATGGCGACGGCCGTCGTCTTCACGGCCGGCGGCAAGGTCGAGATGAAAAAGAAAAGCCGGAGCTCTCCCCCTCGGTTTGCTTGGCTCAGGAGTGGTAATGGGGAGGAGGCGATGCAGCTGGGTGGAGGTGAAGCCTCGGTTCGGCGCTGCCACGTCGAGGCCACGCGTCGACGCCGTCCAGTGCCGGTCGGCGCCCTCGGTCTCTCTCTCGGCTGTCACTGTGTTGGATGGAGGAGAAATAGAATATGGACAGAGAAGAAGTGACTCAGAGAGGTTTCCATGTGGGTCCAGGGTGATATAGGCTAGGTGGGTGAGACTGGTACGAGTAGATGATTGGGTGTAACCGTGTAAGTGGTTTTGGACGAATTTTTTGGATTAATTCTCTCACCCTTTCTTTGTAACTCCATAGTTTATTTTATGGCCAGGATAAATTAGTGTAGATTTTTTGTTATGAAAGTTCGAGATATCTAGATTCCATTTTCTTAGATTCCATTTTCTTTAATTGCACTTAAAAATTTTGAATATATTACTCACAGTAATTAGGAGAAAATGGGCTCTTTGGAAATTAGTTTGAATTTTTAGGAGATTAAACAGAGAAGATAAATTCTGGTAAAATTATATTTATTCATGATAAATGACCTAGTATTTGAATAAATTATTTCTCCTATACACTTCCATGCAATTAATTGCACTTTTAGACAAGGTATGGTTTTAGCCAATTAGGAATTATAATTAGTCTATTATTTGACTGATTTAACTGATTTATTTGAGGTATCAAATTTAGTTATTAAATTTTACCAAAATTACTATGTGTTGTATAGGTTAAGTAGAGCCTACATGAATTTTCCAATGATTTTATCTTGCACAAATTATTTTAGATAATTAGCAAGACTTATTTTCCTTTCCTAAATGTATGTAAATGTTTATAAAAGTTATATTTAGACACTTCTTAACCTGAGGTGATGTTGATATTACCTTACACATGTCATAAGCTTCTTAACTATTTATGCATAAGTTTACTCTAGTATTAAATTAAGAGAATGCTTATAAAGGTAATTGTTGGCGGATGGCATGAGGCCCTTCAACCAAACCTGCCGAAACCCATGGCGAAGGCTATGGAGCAAGAACGGCGCAAGGCGAAGAGTAGCGCCAGGCTAGAGGCGTCTCAGGCGAAGGGTGCAAGGCGAAGACTGTCTGCCGAAGGAGGATGACTTCGCCTTGACAAGTTCGCCCCCGCGAGAGCCGAGGAAGCCTTTCCGGCCCATGAGGCCGGCGATCGCCAGACGGCCCATCAGGGGCCCATGAGCCCCTATAACATTATGTACCCCTGTAAATGTCCCTTTTGTAAGGGTAATCATGTAAATTCCCCTCTACAACCTAAACCCTGGTAGTAAGAACTTGTAATGGGGCTATAAATAGTCCTCTAGGGCCATGTAATGGGGGGATCCCAAGTGAAATTCAAAATTTAGTACACTTCATTTTTCCCAACCACTGTTGAGTAACCACGTCTTTCGACGTATGCAGTTGTCGTTTCGACAGCAGCTGGCGCCGACCGTGGGGACTCCGAGCGAAACCACTGGGAGCGAATGCCACCGAAGAGGGTCGTGAAGGAGAAGGTTGTCAGGCAGAAGGAGAGCGACGCCGGACCGGACATGGCCGCCGAGGAAGGAGCAAAGCCTTCGGCGTCCGTGGCCGAAGATGGAGAAGCACAAGCGCCACCACAGCCGCCTCCGGCCCCCGCGCCACCACAACCGTCTTCGGCCCCCGCAACCTCAGTGCAAGTGCCGAACACGGCCGACGTGGCGAAGGCGGCTGCGGCGGCAAGGGCACTCCAGACCAGGGCGGAGATCCTTTCGACTAACCAACTGGTGGTGCCTCAAGCCGCCCCGTCGCAGCCGGCGGCGCCAACTGCGCTCACCGTTGTACAGGCCCAAATCAGTCTAGACCCCGAAGCGCAAGCCGAAGCCGACATGGAAGCCATGCGGCAGAACATGACACGGCTACAAGACATGCTTCGCCAAATGCAAGAACAACAACAAGCATACGAGGCGACAAGGCGGACCAAGGCCACGTCAGCTCCAATCCTTCAGTATTCGGCAGGCTATGCCCCACCTCAAGTCCGGCCGCAAGTGGTGACCCAGCCCTCTCCGCCACTAGCCGCACAGCCGCCGGTGTACTTTGCCGGGCAGCATCAACCACCTGGCGAAGCGCCACAATCAGTGGCGGAAGGGGCTTCGGCTCTGCAGGCGCAACTCTAAGCTTTCCTTCAGCAACTCAACCAACCCCACTACATTTCAAGCACAACCCCATCGGCTCACCCGGTGGGGAATACAAGTCAAGGTGCGCCCAATTGGTTGCCACCAATTCAGCCAGGCTCGGGACCTTCGCCGTGGAGTCAAGGACCGCAGTTCTTCTTCGTCAACACTGCTCAGGTGCCAACCGTTCGGCAGCAAGTTCCAACCCCAGGCTTCGGAACAAACCAAGCACCAATCCAAGCTGCCATGATGTGGTCGCAGCCAATCTTTGACCCATCCATGGCGGCCCAGCAAGTACCACCAGTTGGAGCCGGGCAGTCGAATGCCACGGCCCAACTCCACGCACAAGCTGCGATTTCGCCCTTCACCACACCGTACCCGCAGCAAGGTGCGGTAAAAAGGGCGGGAGGCGAAAAGGGGCTACCGCTGAGTGGGGGAATCAAGACTCGTCCAATCCCGCCCCAGTTCAAGTTCCCACCTGTCCCGCGTTATTCGGGCGAAACTGACCCGAAGGAGTTCCTCTCCATCTATGAGTCAGCGATTGAAGCGGCTCATGGTGACGAAAATACCAAGGCGAAGGTAATACATCTCGCTCTAGACGGCATCGCCCGTTCTTGGTATTTCAATTTACCAGCCAATAGCATTTACTCATGGGAGCAATTGCGCGATGTTTTTGTCCTTAACTTTCGAGGCACCTATGAGGAGCCGAAGACGCAGCAACACCTTCTTCGCATTCGCCAAAGGCCGGGGGAGTCGATAAGGGAGTACATGCGTCGCTTCTCGCAAGCCCGGTGCCAAGTTCAAGACATAACCGAGGCGTCGGTTATAAACGCCACTTCGGCCGGTCTGCTTGAGGGCGAACTAACAAGAAAAATCGCCAACAAGGAGCCGCAGACGCTCGAGCACCTACTTCGCATCATTGACGGGTTCGCAAGGGGTGAGGAGGATTCTAAGCTATACAAGCTGAGTACGATAAAGCCTCCGTCGCCGCTGCTCAAGCTCAAGCGCAAGTTCAAATTGCCGAACCACCTCCCCTCTCTGTTCGCCAGTCTCAGCCGGCGATCCAGGGACAGCCGCCAAGGCAAGGCCAAGCCCCCATGACTTGGAGAAAGTTTAGAACAGATCGGGCGGGCAAAGCTGTGATGGCTGTCGAAGAAGTGCAAGCCCTCCGCAAGAAGTTCGACGCCCAGCAAGCAACCAACCATCAGCAGCCAGCCCGCAAGAAGGTCCGAAAAGACCTCTACTGCGCCTTTCACGGACGCTCTTCGCACACCACGGAGCAATGCCGAAACATTAGGCAACGTGACAACGCGCAAGACCCAAGGCCGCAGCAGGGAACAACTGTCGAAGCACCCCGTGAAGCAGTTCAGGAGCAAACACCCCCAGCCGAACAACGCCAAGATACACAACGAAGGGTAATCCAAGTGATTACAAGAGCTGACCCGCCAAGCCAGTTGTCGAAATGGCAGAGGAAGATGCAGATCCGCATGGTCCACAGCATCACTTCAGCGGGTGAGGGGGCGCCACGTGAACCAACTAATCTCTTTTGGGCCAGAAGACGCCGAAGGAGTCCTGTTCCCGCATCAAGATCCACTGGTAATCTCAGCTGAGATAGCCGGTTTTGAAGTCCGACGAATCCTGGTCGATGGAGGGAGTTCGGCCGACGTGATCTTCGCCGAAGCATATGCTAAGATGGGCTTGCCAACCCAAGCTCTTACACCAGCACCAACGTCGCTCCGGGGGTTCGGCGGAGAGGCAGTGCAAGTTCTTGGCCAAGCACTTTTGCTGATAGCTTTCGGCTCGGGAGAAAACAGGCGCGAAGAGCAAATACTGTTCGACGTCGTCAACATCCCACCACAATTATCTCAAGCTCAAGATGCCTGGCCCAACAGGGGTGATAGTAGTCAAGGGGCTTCAGCCTTCGGCCGCTTCAAAACGCGATCTAGCCATAATCAACAGAGCAGTGCACAATGTTGAGACCGAACCGCATGAGCGGCCGAAGCACACGCCGAAGCCTACCCCTCACGGCAAGGTAACAGAAGTACAGATTGATGATGCCGACCCCACAAAGCTCATATCACTGGGGGGCGACATGGGCGAAGAAGAAGTTGAGAGCATACTAGAGGTGCTCAAAAAGAACATCGATATCTTCGCCTAGAGCCCTGACGAGGTGGGGGGCATCCCGGCAGATCTCATCATGCATCACTTAGCAGTCAAGCCGAATATTAAGCCAAGAAAACAAAAGTTGCACAAGATGTCTGCCGATCGCCAAGAAGCGGCGAAGACCGAAGTACAAAAATTACTCCGGGCGGGCGTTATTCAAGAGATTGACCATCCGGAGTGGTTGGCGAATCCAGTGCTGGTGCGGAAGTCAAATGGCAAATGGTGCATGTGTGTCGATTTCACAGACCTGAACAAGGCATGTCCGAAAGACGATTTCCCCTTGCCGCGAATCGACCAGCTCGTGGATTCAACAGCTGGATGCGAGCTCATGAGTTTCCTGGATGCATATTCCGGTTACCACCAGATCCACATGAACCCGCTCGACATCCCCAAAACATCCTTCATCACTCCATTCGGTACATTTTGTCACCTCAGGATGCCTTTCGGCTTAAGGAACGCAGGAGCAACCTTCGCCAGGCTGGTGTACAAGGTCCTTGGCAAGCAGTTGGGGTGAAACGTGGAAGCTTACGTCGACGACATCGTCGTAAAAAGCCGCAAGGCTTTTGACCATGCGATCGACCTGCAAGAGATGTTCGACAGCTTGCGCGCGGCAGGCATAAAGCTGAATCCGGAGAAGTGCGTTTTCGGCGTCCGCGCAGGCAAGTTGTTGGGTTTCCTTGTTTTCTAAAGGGGCATCGAGGCGAATCCCGAGAAAATCGATGCCATCCAGCAAATGAAGCCTCCGTCAAGCGTACATGAAGTACAAAAGCTTGCAGGCCGAATTACAGCACTCGGTCG